CTCTGCGAGGGCCTTATTTGAGGCCTGTTTAATCAGGCTTCGGGGAAAAGGCCCGGGTTTTAGTGCCAAATGCCGGGGAAAGCATCTGTAAAAAGGCAGAAAGTTGGGTTAAACATCAGCATTTACGGGTTACAACCCAACTCCATGGTTTTATGAAAACACTCGTCAAAGTTTATCATAGTAAATTTTTAATTTCACTCCTGAAAAAAAATCATTCTTTATTATAGGAGGTATTTGGACCTAACTCACTTGGACTCTTTTGTTTTTTTAAATGCGTTTTAAAGCACAGCTAACTAATTTGATGCGGTGTATTTTGGGATTTTTACCGCCAATTTTCCTATTTCTTTCCGTCTCATTTTTGTTTAAATTTTTTTCGTTTTTGGTGCAACCTGATATTTTTCATGAAAGTTCGTACTTGACCATTACCTGCTTTTCCCCTTTGTCTTTTACTCCTTTTTCTCCCTTTGCATTGTTAGTTTGCTAAAACTGTCGATTCTCAAAAAGTTTTCAGTCCCTCTCAAAACAATGTTGTATACCCTCATTCATAACACCAGCAGAATTTTAACCACATGTATTGTAGATATTTCCCTGTTACATTCTAATTAAAACCCTTCAAACACTTACGTGGCCTGACATGACCTTACCTGTCTTTTAACCTTTTTTTTTTTCTCATCTCCCCCCTTTATCTTGTCACTCGAAAATGAAATGGGTTAAAACAGGCCAATATATCATCTATTTCTTTTCAACTGAGGTTACTGTGAAACTGTTCTAGCCACGGTCCCTGAATTTTGGATTATAATGAATTGTTCCAGCGAGGGTATTTTAATTGGGGGTTACTAGAAAATTTTCCCCAGGCAAGGAAAGTAACTTTGGGCTGCTACTGAATTTTTTGCAGTATGGTATTGGACTGGGGTTTTTATTTTTTAATGTTCCAGTCATGGTATTGATGATGATCATCTCAAGGTCTCAAGTTTCCTCGACAATAATTTAGTCTTTAAAAAAACAAAAATTGCTTAAGCGCGTCCTTGGTAACACTTTCTTTGTTTTTTTCTTCACAGTTGCGTCACAAAACCAAAAATTTTTGTAAAATTTTTTATTTGTCTTAAATTTTCTTTTCACCCCCTCCCACAGGATGGAAGGGGTTTGCTACCCACAGGATAAAAAATAATAAAAATAATAATAATAATAATAATAATAATAATAATAATAATAATAATAATAATAATAAAAATAATAATAATAATAACAATAATTTTATTTCACAAGTACAAAAAAAAAACAACTTAAAGACCTGTAATCAAAGATTTGGGAACCCTGGTTTGCAGGCCCCAACCCAGTTAGGGGAAGGGGTCGAAACCATCGGAAAACACCGGGTACTTATTTACTGCAGGTAACGGGGACAGCGGGTTCTTAAAGGGAAAACACCCATTTTTCGACCCGTACCGGGGTAGAGCCACGCATAAATGGTGAATAGTGCGCCACCAACGACCCTCGGATAGTAGGGAGTGACTCCACTCCAGGAGGGGTATGGGGTGACTACACCCCCCAAAGGGGATGGGTACATAGTAAAGATAAAAACATTGGGGGTCAGAGGTGATATATTTATGTTTGCATACACACAGAGGTGTTCACAGGCGGCCCACATGTACGGTCTGGTCATCTTCACTACCATGGGATCTCCATCAACCCGGGGAATTGAGTTCCCCCACGGGGGAGAAGTGCAATCAGTGTTGTCCCCGGGGTTCGAGACTCCTAGTGGTACCCCGGGAGGCGCAGAAGGTAAAAAAACCTTGACGTCAACTTCGTTTTTTGTCTTTTTTTTATCTATAGGGAAATAGATAGTTTACTTGGTACAGGTACACATTGTTTGGAAAAATCCTCGTAAACACAGGACATTAGAAAAAGTTTCGGTCTGGGACCTTTATCCTTTTTTAAGGTCCCCGGCCCAAATGTTTTCTATAATGTCCTAGTTTTTTTTCTGGGTCTTTTTAAACCAATTTGTTGGTCGTACGTTTTTTTTGGGGAGCCGCACAAACAGCCTGGTTGATCAGGCTCTGATCCCCGGGGGCCTGGTCACAGACCGGGCCGCGGGGGGGGTGACCCCCGGAACTCTCCCAGGGAAACTCCCGGTAATTTATACCACAGGTACAATAAATACAATTTTTCATATTATCTTTCTAGCAAAATTATGCGTAAATTATCTAGGATAACCAAAAAAAAAAAATCACAGTGGCCAACTTCAGGATAAAGTTTTCACTGTCGTAAAAATCGTTTAAAAACCTGTAAAACATAACTCACCGTAATCACAAAGATTCCTGTGTTGACGCGTTTTTTCTCTCGAATAATTCATGCTGTGGACAAAAAACAGAATTATTTTCATATTGCCTGGCCGGGCCTCATTTATGCAGACACATTGTGTTTGAAATCTTCAAAGTTTTTAGACATTTAACCATTATTCTTTTTTTCAGCTTTTGGGGCCCAAATTGCCAGATTATATAAATTGGGGGTTTTAAATTCCCTCTGAAACCAAGCCACGTAAGGCACAGGAAATAGAGTATTGTTATCTGACTTCGATTAGAACGGGATCGATTCCCACAAAACTCGCGTTTTATGACCCTACGATGTACCTCTTTCACCTAAAATAATAATAATAAAAATAATAATAATAAAATTGTGGGAAAAACGTATATATTTTCCCGAAATTCATATTTGTAGTAAATAATTTGGGCCCAAAGTATTTAATAATATTTTTTCATAAAAACGGAAAGCTGCGTTGCGCGACGGGGGCTGCCACTTGGTTTTTTTAAATTTTTTATTAAAAACGTTGGGGAATGGGGAAAAGTTTTCGGCCTAGAGGTTAAAAATTTTGCTGAACCTTCAAAAAAGGGGGGAAATTGGGGGATGTGTTCCGCTTTGGAATCAACGACTGGACAAGACACTCCAGAAACCCCAGATAAGCTCTTTATTTGTTTAATTCGGCCGCATTTTTTAAGATTTTTTTAGAGTGAGGGTTTTTTGAGTAGATAACATTAAAATCCAGCAATGGGGATGATATTAAATTATTTTCCTTTTGTTATTAAAATTTTGTTAAATATAACCTTTACTATTTTTTTTATCATCCACAAAATTTATAATTACCAGTATTCCCGGTTTACAAAATTTCTTGGTAATTAATAGGCAAGCAAATTGTGGAAAGACAGTTTTTTTTATTATTATTTTAAAAAAAAAAAAAACGCTAAACCAAGGACTATACAGCATATGACAGTAGTAGGTATCGAAGGGGGCATTTTTTCGCCTAGGTGTCCCAAACCCCACCTGGAGTTTACCTGGAGAGAGTTCCGGGGGTAACGCCCCCCCCGGGAACCCTCTGTGACCAGGTCTCCTGTGGATCAGGCCTGATCACCAGGCTTTTGCTGCGGCTGAAGCAAACCCCAAAGTACGAGCCCAGCCCGGCTGGGCGGGAAACCCACTTTGGTGCTTTTCCATGCCCCTTGAGACTGCCAGGGGGCTGTTGGGAATCCCCCTTAGTTCGGGGGGCAGTTTTAACAGTCCGGGCCCCTGACACTTTTGTTGGTCCTTAAAGTGCTAGTGACACCCTGCTTTTCATTGGGGGGGTGGTGCATCTCTGCCAAATCTTTTTTTTCGTGTGAGTGTTTTCGTGTGCAAGTTCGGGACTAGTCCCTCTAGGATTTTCCCGGTGTATATAATCATGTATCTCTCCCCCTGCGTTCCAGGGAATACAGTTTTAGGAACCTCAAGCGCTCCCAGTAATTGAGGTGTTTTATCTCCGTTATGTGCGCCGTGAAGGTTCTCTGTACATTTTCTAGGTCAGCAATTTTACCTGCCTTGAAAGGTGCTGTTAGTGTGCAGCAATATTCCAGCCTAGATAGAACAAGTGACCTGAAGAGTGTCATCATGGCTTGGCATCCCTAGTTTTGAAGGTTCTCATTATCCATCCTGTCATTTTTCTAGCAGATGCGATTGATACAATGTTATGGTCCTTGAAGGTGAGATCCTCCGACATGATCACTCCCAGGTCTTTGACGTTGGTGTTTCGCTCTATTTTGTGGCCAGAATTTGTTTTGTACTCTGATGAAGATTTAATTTCCTCATGTTTACCATATCTGAGTAATTGAAATTTCTCATCGTTGAACTTCATATTGTTTTCTGCAGCCCACTGAAAGATTTGGTTGATGTCCGCCTGGAGCCTTGCAGTGTCTGCAATGGAAGACACTGTCATGCAGATTCGGGTGTCATCTGCAAAGGAAGACACGGTGCTGTGGCTGACATCTTGTCTATGTCGGATATGAGGATGAGGAACAAGATGGAGCGAGTACTGTGCCTTGTGGAACAGAGCTTTTCACCGAGCTGCCTCGGACTTTACTCTGTTGACGACTACTCTCTGTGTTCTGTTAGTGAGGAAATTATAGATCCATCGACCAACTTTTCCTGTTATTCCTTTAGCACGCATTTTGTGCGCTATTACGCCATGGTCACACTTGTGGAAGGCTTTTGCAAAGTCTGTATATATTACATCTGCATTCTTTTTGTCTTCTAGTGCATTTAGGACCTTGTCGTAGCGATCCAATAGTTGAGACAGACAGGAGCGACCTGTTCTAAACCCATGTTGCCCTGGGTTGTGTAACTGATGGGTTTCTAGATGGGTGGTGATCTTGCTTCTTAGGAGCCTTTCAAAGATTTTTATGATATGGGATGTTAGTGCTATCGGTCTGTAGTTCTTTGCTGTTGCTTTACTGCCCCCTTTGTGGAGTGGGGCTATGTCTGTTGTTTTTAGTAAATGTTATGTACATAATTATACATACAGATAAATGCAATTTTCCAAAATAATAATAATAACAACGATGGTAATAAAAACGTTAATAACAATGATAATAATAATAATAGTAATAATAATAATAACGATGACAATAAAAACGTTAATAATAATAATAATAATAATAATAATAATAATAATTTATAATAATACATCCATTTCACAGGTGATGACGAACTTGTACCATGAAGTGGCTGGGAGAGTCTATCATCTACAGACCCCACCATTAATCAGGGACCGTCGCCATGGTCGACCCAGACACCAACACAACTCTACCATGTGTGAGGCTTGTCACCAGGGTCTGTGTAAGACCACAAGACCAACCTCACTGTGAGACTTGTCACCAGGGTCTAAGACCACAAGACCAACCTCACTGTGAGACTTGTCACCAGGGTCTAAGACCACAAGACCAACCTCATTGTCAGACTTGTCACTAGGGTCTAAGACCACAAGACCAACCTCACTGTGAGCTTGTCACCAGGGTCTAAGACCACAAGACCAACCTCACTCTGAGACTTGTTACCAGGGTCTAAGACCACAAGACCAACCTCACTGTGAGGCTTGTCACCAGGGTCTAAGACCACAAGACCAACCTCACTGTGAGGCTTGTCACCAGGGTCTAAGACCACAAGACCAACCTCACTGTGAGGCTTGTCACCAGGGTCTAAGACCACAAGACCAACCTCACTGGAGGCTTGTCACCAGGGTCTAAGACCACAAGACCAACCTCACCGTGAGGACTTGTCACCAGGGTCTAAGACCACAAGACCAACCTCACTGTGAGGACTTGTCACCAGGGTCTAAGACCACAAGACCAACCTCACTGTGAGGCTTGTCACCAGGGTCTAAGACCACAAGACCAACCTCACCGTGAGACTTGTCACCAGGGTCTAAGACCACAAGACCAACCTCACTGTGAGACTTGTCACCAGGGTCTAAGACCACAAGACCAACCTCACTGTGAGGCTTGTCACCAGGGTCTAAGACCACAAGACCAACCTCACTGTGAGGCTTGTCACCAGGGTCTAAGACCACAAGACCAACCTCACTGTGAGGCTTGTCACCAGGGTCTAAGACCACAAGACCAACCTCACGTGAGCTTGTCACCAGGGTCTAAGACCACAAGACCAACCTCACTGTGAGACTTGTCACCAGGGTCTAAGACCACAAGACCAACCTCACTGTGAGACTTGTCACCAGGGTCTAAGACCACAAGACCAACCTCACTGTGAGCTTGTCACCAGGGTCTAAGACCACAAGACCAACCTCACTGTGAGGCTTGTCACCAGGGTCTAAGACCACAAGACCAACCTCACTGTGAGGCTTGTCACCAGGGTCTAAGACCACAAGACCAACCTCACTGTGAGGCTTGTCACCAGGGTCTAAGACCACAAGACCAACCTCACTGTGAGACTTGTCACCAGGGTCTAATACCACAATTTACATATAAATTTAAAATGAATTTAACTGCACAAATCACATCAAATTCCAGGAAGCCTTCCAAGTTTTAAATATTCCAATAAACTATTAATAACTATACCGAGAAAAAACAATTATGCAATATTTCTTGGACTACTCTTAAGTCCGTTATTATTTCCTAATCTCAAAATATTTAAACATGTTATAATTTCTAGTTAAGAACAACGACGTAGTCTGTCCTCACACATACATGTAGGTATCCCGGCTATATTATTATTATAATCAAGGGGGAAGCGCTAAACCCGGAGGATTATACAGCGCCTGGGGGGGGGGATGTGGAAGGCATTCAGGCTTAATTCGGGGAACTGGAGCACAGATCCAATTCCCTAAATCAAGAGCCCCTCACCAACATCAAGGAACCTTCCTTGAGGGGATCCCGGCTATAACTTTTGTTTTGATACCATCAAACTAGAAATGTGATTCGTAAATGACTGTTTCTATATTCAGAATGTATTTCATATTGTCAGTGTTTACTTAAATTGCTTTTTTACTTTGCAATACTGTCTGCGAGAACGACCAAGATCTTTTTTTATATTGTGTCATGCTCTGGGATGTGCCTAGCGCATCGTGGTCACCCACTCATTTACTAGCCAGACTTTAACTGTGCTTAATCTGGCTACCTGGGCAACGAAGAATGTCACCCACAACACTACGCTATTGACCGAATTAAGAAAGGAATATATTTTAAGAATATGAGAATAGTGGAATACTGCACTACCTAGGCAGGTCTAACTCACGCACACTTCTACCTGTCCAACTTATTTTTTAAATCTACCCAAAGTTCTCGCTTCAGTGACGCTACTTGGGAATTTCTTCCACTCATACATATATTTTGTAAATAAATTATATTCTTATTATTTTTATGTTTGTAGTCTCTGCTACCGCAAATTAGTTTCAACCCATTTGCACATGGTGTTTGGAAACATCTTCAAATATCCAACAAATCTTAATGATCAACGGTTCTCTCATTGTAAGATACACTAAGGGTAAATTCTTTCTTAGGTCCACACCTTGACTTTAACTTGAAATTTATACCCACATCCAGCACGTAACTATGAAGGTCTCCAAAACAGTAGGTCTCCTCTACTAGATAAGTTATTGTATACCTCAAACAACACTACTTGAAGTGTACCACTTGCTAATGTATCCTTACCTCGAACATTAAAATGGTATAAAATACCGACAGGTTGTTAGGTAAGACACATATGCAACAGTTAGGTATCTTTATTATGAAACACGTTTCGCCTACACAGTAGGCTTCTTCAGTCAAGTACAGAAAAGTTGATAGAAGCAGAAGATACTTGAAGACGATGTAATCAGTCCATCACCTCAAAACTTTAAGGGTGATGGACTGATTACATCGTCTTCAAGTATCTTCTGCTTCTATCAACTTTTCTGTATTTGACTGAAGAAGCCTACTGTGTAGGCGAAACGTTTCATAATAAAGATACCTAACTGTTGCATATGTGTCTTACCAAATATCCTTACCTCACCTATGGTATTAGTGCCTGGGGATCTACTACACCAAATCATCTAAAACCATTAATAACTCAACAAAGAGCCGCTGTGTGGACTATCAACCTTCCAGTGGCAGACAACATACTCACCCACTCTTTAAAAGCTTGAACTTATTTAATATACACAATATACACTCATACTACTGTGCATGCACTTTAAAGGATGGGTTTGGGATATTGGTAGTTTGGTGGGACTCATACACTGTCGTATCTGGGCGCCTCTGTAAAGACAGTGTTGAATGATGATGAAAAAAAATATATGTCGTGCCGAATAAGTAGAATAAGTAGCAACGCTCTTCTTGCCGAATAAGGCAAGCGAAAATTTGTGTATGCAATAATTTCGCAGAAGTCATTCTGAACCTAACGAAAAATATATATTTCATTGTGTTTGTTTATAGTAGGATGGTTATGAGGATTAATCCTCCACAGAAGAAAAAGAAGATAGTGATAAAAGGAAAGATAAAGTGCAGATTTTATTAAGCGATGAATATCTAGTAAAACAGTATAGAAGTCGATGAGCTTGATAATGGTCCACAACGGATCGAAACATAATAAAGGAAGAACACTGCGGTAAGGCTACTGGCCCAAACTAGGCATATTCTGCTCAAAACCTAAATTTAAAAACAAAAATATTTGCTCAACCCATTCTCAATGTTACCCAATGAATAATGCTACATTTATCAACATAAACAGCATCTTTTCTTCGCAATGGGGGCTGTTTGTGAATATCTAAGTCGTCACGTGAGGTCACAGACCCTGAGCTGCTTTGGGGATTAGTGTGGACGGTACAAAGCATGGCTTGCTTCTGCAGTGTTTTAAAAATTGAGGTTGGAGAGTTGAAGGAGGAGGTCTTGCTTCTCCAGGAGGAGATTAGGAGGCTGAAGGTCCACCTCAATGGGTCTGGGAGAGAGTGTGAGGTGGCTGGAGTTGTGGGGAATGAGGCTTCTAGCAGTGAGGTGCAGTCTGTCTCTCGCTGTGAGGAGGCTGTAGTTGGGGAGGTAGCAACGGCTACCAGCAGTGAGGTGCAGCCCAGCACCTGCTACAAGTGGCGAGTTGTTCACAGTAATGGGAGGCGCATCAGAGTAAGGAAAGTTAAGAGTGAAGATCTGAAGGTAGGAAATCGCTTCTCTGTTCTTCAGGATGAATGTACTTCAGTGGCCAGTGAAGGTAAGGGTACTACTGCCCCTGCTAATGGAGGTAAGCGCATTCTTGTGGTTGGTGACTCTCAGGTAAGATATATTGACCGTGCTTTTTGTAATAGGAATAAGAAGATGAGAGATAGAGTGTGCTTCCCTGGAGCTGGTGTTGGGGACATTGTCAACAGGCTGGATAATATCATGTCAGGTAATGGGAACAAGCCCATTATCTGTCTCAGTGCTGGTGGAAATGATATTGGGAAGGGTAGGAGAGAAGAGCTGCTAGATAAGTACAGGTCAGCTATAGATTTCATTAAGTCTAAGGGAGGGATCCCAATCATATTGTAGCATCTTGCCTAGAAGGGGAGTAGGAAATGAATGGTTGTCTAGGGCAATTGGTGTAAATTGCTGGCTAGACAGATACTGCAAGGAACTTGCAATCCCATTCATTGACAACTGGAACAACTTTTATGGCAAACATGATATGTATGCAAGGGATGGGGTACATCTCTCTGGCTGGGGTGGTAGCACTTGCAGACTCGATTGAGAAGGCCATTGGTGAAATGCCTATGATTTTAAACTGATGGAAGATAGAGGTATGGGTGTGTGTGGGAAACAAGCAGGTTGCAACACTTGGGTTGGAAACAGTAAATGTATAAAAGGCATTCAGCATGAAGTTATAAATAAAGACAATAGATCAGGTCAGCAAACAAAGGGGACAGCAGAGGGCAGCAAGGGACTAGCTCCCTTAAGGTTTACTATACTAATAGCAGGAGTGTAAGAAATAAGATAGATGAGCTAAGATTAATTGCAAGTGCAGGAAACATAGATATTATTGCTATAACAGAGACCTGGCTCAATCTGAAAGATAGAGAGATGCCCTCTGAATGTCAAATACAAGGCTATAAATTATTCCACACTGACAGGGTCAACAGGAAAGGTGGTGGAGTAGCGATGTATGTCAGAGACAATTTAAATTGTTGTGTTAGACAAGATATTAAATTAGAAGCGTCAGCCACTGAATCTGTTTGGTTACAGCTTCTTCGAGGGCCGAGAAAAACTAATTTTGGGTGTGATTTACAGGGCCCCAAATCTTGATAAGGAGTGCAGTAAACTTCTATGGGACGAAATTCGTAAGGCATCTACATACGAAAATGTTGTGCTAATGGGAGATTTCAACTATAGACAGATTGACTGGAGCAATTTGACAGGAAATCTAGAGTCAGGTGACTTTCTTGATACGATCCAGGATTGTTTTTTAAAACAGTTTGTGACAGAGCCAACTAGGGGAAATAACCTCCTTGACTTGGTTCTTGCCAGTAGGGAAACACTAATTAATAATCTTGAGGTTAATGATGAGCTTGGGGAAAGTGATCACAAATCACTCAGTTTTAATATATCATGGAATTCCCCTAATAATGGCAATCAAGTCTCCGTCCCTGACTTTCGCTTGGCTGATTTCATAGGACTGAAGAATTACTTAGGTGGGCTGAACTGGAATGACCTGACTAAGGGTCAGGTAGGTGGTGATGGTTGCCGATATGATGCTTT